TTCTTTTCGCAGTTTGGTGCTAATTGAAGATGCCAAGTGAAATCCGTTTGCTCTCCGCCTGATCCTTCCTCTGCTTCCACCGGTATTGAATTCAAAACATTCAAAGTTGGAATATTCTTATTCATCCGGTTCACATGACTTAGCCAACGTATATCCCCCAGAGGACCGTAGATCTTATCCAAAACCTTTCACTCAAAATCTCCTAACACCTACTCATCAGATAGCAAGACGTGATTGATGAGTGACTTGTAGAGTTTAGTCTTGGTTCGCGGAGAGAGGACTTTATTTTTCAATAGCCTACTCCTTCCAATGATTCAGCATTAAATTTCATTTCTCCAAGATAGACGAAATTATCTACGACTTCATAGTTATGACTGTCAACAGTGACGTGGGAGCAGAGTCGGGAATGCAATGTTTAACGACAGGTGATATTTCGTCTTACTCTGGATCTGATTAAACCTTTTACCAGGATACCAATTCAGACTTAGCGGCATAGAGCTAGCTCCTTTATATTGTCAAAGGAAGCTTTCAAATCGATGAAGAGGTGATTTGTATCAAACGTACTTTTACGGGAGTTTTCCAATATTTGGCGCATGATGAATATCTGGCCGATGGCGCAGTTACCAGGTCTAAAACACTAAGGAGGCTTATCTCATGGTTCAGACTGGTGAATACTGTGCGTTCTCCTTGTGAATTGGGCAGAGCACACTTAATTGCCGATCATCCTACATTCTTTCTTCGGACCATATTTTGCACTTCTTCATAGGCGGGCCAAGAAATATCGGACGACTGCAACATATATCTCCGTATAATCGATTTATTGATAAAAGAGCTTTTTGGCTAAAAAAAATCCGTTCAAAAATATCTAAAATAGTAAATTTCCTAAAGTTAATTCAAATATATATTGATATTGAAAATAATTTTGCATTAAGTTTTATATTGTCATGAAGGGTATAAGGACTTCGGCATTTTCGAAGAAAGCCCTCTACCTTTTTTTATATTTATTTTTTTTTATGTTTTTTGACCACGCAGCCCGTGGGCATAATTGGCGCTCTTCGCTTGCCTATTAATAAATTTAAACAGGCGTTATATTTAGCATGAAATAAATTAATATGCAATAAATAAATAAATATGGAATATGTGTACAAGCTTTACTCCAATCCAAACAATTCATTTAGCTTTCTTGATCTTTAATTTTTGATTTCAGCCACGAAATGTGTTTCGAAAACCATCAAATCATACCCCAATTAGAATTTAATTTTGGGAAAAAGTTATGACAAAGCTTTTAAAGTAAATTGGCTGTAGTACCCCTACATGAGTACAGAGTCAATTCTTTTAAAACAAAAACAACGCGTTGGTGGAATATTTCTCATCCAATAATAGCAGACAATTGATGCTTTTATTGAACAATTTATTTGATTTTAACAATTTTAAATGTCAAATTCATGCATATTTTTATAGTATGGTGTGTGTGTGCGTGTGTGTGTGTGTGTGTACGCATACATATATGCACGAGTATGTGCATATGCATAATTGTTCGTCTGCCCGAATGTCTACAATCGATAAGGCAGTGCGCTGTGGAGGTGTATGCACAAATTCGGATTTATTCTCATTTCATTTCAATTTAGTCGTTTCTTCGCGATTGTCATCTTAATTAATCACTTAAATAAAGCTTTTTAGATTTTTCTTTCATTATTTGCATGCTCCTAAGGCTATATACATATGTATGTGAGTATATAGTGCTACAAATCAATTAAATTAATTTCTGGCTGAGCGTAGTTAAGCTAAACGGGCGAATAAATGCAAATTAATTTAGTCATCGTTGCTTCCTCGGAAAAAATCATTCTAATGTCTGTAGGCAAAATTTCAGCTACAATATAACATATGGTAAAACATCTGAATCAATTTGAATGGCTTATAAAGCCTAATACGCTGCGTCCGATAACCGCTCGGCATAATAGCCCGTCAGAGTGAGCAATTTGATCAACCATAGATCGGTTTCGTATCACGTTTCACGTCGCACAATCGTTAAATCGGCCCCAATGAGGTGGCTACCGATCTCGGTTTTTACAAGAAAATTTTGTTCAGCGATGAAGCTGACTTTCGGTTGAATGGGTGCGTAACAATATTGTCACGTTTGGAGCGATTGTTGAGATGCTACGACATCTTCGAAAAATCACTGTTTGGTGTGATTATGTAGAAAGAGGATGGATATCCGCTATATACCTTACACCCAACGAAACAATCAATATACTGAAAACATTTTGGTGAACGCATTATCTGGCGTCGTGTGCCTGTGGTGTGCCTTCCGAAGGCATAACTGCCTAATAGCACAGCACAGCCACAGCAAAGTATCTCGTATGTATGTATGTAGTGTTGCACGGATATTACATAATGTGGTTAGGCGTGGTCGGAAAGACCGCGCTTCAAATTCACTTTACCTCGTTTGCACATGCGCCATTGGTTCGTTGAAGGGGCTTGGTTTCTATTCCAGAAGTGTAGGCATCTATTTCTAAAATGTATTCCTCTTCAGCGACAACTATCTTTCTCGAAATGTTTCGACTTTAAACGGTATTGATAGACAGCTTGTGCAGTTACGATGCAATAGCGTTTCCCACAATCCCTTGTTCCTAACAATTTGAAATAACTGAAGGAAAGAATTTGATGGCTAGAACTATTAGGACGGCGCCGAAGAATAGTGAAGTGAAAGTTATGGTCATGTCGAATAGCGGTGGTGAAAACACACTATTTGGTGAACATATATTCACCATCTCAGCTATGTCGGAAATGTGTCATAATAAAACATACATAATTTTTAGCTTTACACTTAGTCTAAGAAGCAAATATTTGTACTTAAAAGCACTTCACTAAATATCAAACAAGACTACGAAATGCTTATATACGAGTGCATAGTACGTTGTTCTCTGTGAATCTCCTCACAAACATAATTCCAAACAATGGAAATGCTCAAATTGTCGTCTGAATTGGGTTATTTGTTTTTATATGACGTTTTTGGTTGCAAAGCTTACGATCCTTATTGTTTCACATTGAAAAGACAGGAGTCTTAAGCTAGCTTTTAATCAGGCTACAGCAAAAATCTAGATTTTCTGCAAGTGTTAAACGATTTCTAAACAAAATACCACGTGGTGTAATATTATCAAGTGTAAAACGTAGCCAATTTTTTAAAGCCAGTCGGTAGAAAATTCGCGATTTCTGACCAAGGTCAGCGAGGAATCATCAGGACTCTACCTAGTCTTGTGCAAAGTTGGGCTCAGCTGTAGAAAATAAAGTGACAGAAACCACAAGTGGGCGTACCCTATGCCAGAAATTTGGATTTTTCAAAATTGATGAAGGAACCTCATCTATTGCAACGGCACAAATAAGCGCTCCTACTATTTGCAGAAGAACACATAAACACCAATTAGGACACAGTTGGTTATTGCCTTTGATGATAAAGTTCTTCCGTTTAACTCTATTTGTTGTAAATATTGTCTTCCAGAGCGAAAAAATTTATTTTGATTGCCCAGATGATCTGTTGATTATTAATGAGTCTTAATCCACTGCGCAAAGCTCTTGCTCGGTTATTTTTAACAACAATGGAAATTGTCGTATAATTTTGAAACAACCAGAAAAAGTTAAATACATATTCGTAAGTGTATTAATAATAGTTTTTATTATTAAAATGAACTTACCATGCGTCGCAACAAATCTTCGTTTTGGATTGTGCTCAAATCGCATTCCAGCTCCATGTTGAAGCCTGAAAATAAGTAAACGCATACAAAAACTAACTGATAAGTATGTACGTATATATGCATATTTTTATAATTTTTTTATTTTTATTTTTATTATTTCAATCAATTGAATTGATTTCAATTTTTCGGTAGTATGACTTCATGCCCATTTAAAAAATAAAAAAAAAAAACATAATTAATGTTTGTTATTTTATTGAGCATTTCATTCTATAAGTAATTTGTTTTTTATTTTTTATTTTTTTTAATACAAATATAACATACGTATGTACAAGTACAAACAAATAGTACAACAAAGTCATTTGAATTTATTGTTTAAAGTGCGAGTTTCTGCAACAACTGTATAGTATATATAAGTATATATACACGTACATTTGCATGACTATCCATCAAATACAAATTGAGCTGATTTATTTTAAAAACAATTAAACAATTCCTGTACATACAAACTTACTGACATGCAAGCTTTCTCATTGACACTGCACGTCACCTCAAATGGCGAACAATTGACAGGCAGACAGACAGACAGACTAGGTCTGTGTAGTAGGAGTGTGCATAAGCATGTTTGTATGGGCGGGGGTTAATGTTAGCATTTGCAATTAATTTTAATAATAACCATTAATATTTGGTCCATAGACAGCTAATGTAAGTTTGTATGTATTGTATGTATTGTATGTATTGTATGTTTGTATGTGTGTTTTAACACGCTAAGCTGATGTAATAACACCTGAAACACCTCCACCCAATCACCCCCACAACACACATTGAAGTGTACACATATGCATGTACATACAATATATACGTATGTTATGAATATATGTATGTATTATATATGTAGTTTGCATCAACTGACTATTTTCATAAATTATTGTACAATAAAACGCGTAAATGTTATACTATATACGAAAATATACATAAATTTGTTTATTATTTAAGCCTACATATCGTACATATGTATGTACATGTTTTGTATTTCCACTCAACGTCAAAGTTATTTGTAATGACAATTGCAATCACACTCGCATTCGCATTCGAGCGGTAACAAGTTGAATTTTCATTTTCCAAAAATGGTCAAATTAAACAACAAATTTTCAATTTTTATTGCTTGACATTTAACTTTTTATTATTATTATTTATTTTTATTTAGCTGTTAAATGCATGTATTTATGCCTGTACATATGCGTATGTTTTTATATTTATTTTTTTGTTTTTATTTTTTGATGTGCTTCGTTTTGGTCATTTCAGTTGTGAACTCGAAATAATTGAAATTCTGGGCACAGGCTCATTGACAGCCTGACAAATGAACAATAACATCGACTGCACTCGTTCATACGAGTCCGTTCATATATAGATTTATGTAAGTATGTAATTGGCGTTTGGTAAATGCTGAAGCGATTTTCGGCCGAGCTCCTTCTCTAATTTGTGATTTTGCGTCTTGATGTTTTTCCAAGTCGTCTCCGAACGGTTGAAATACACTCGGAGGGGTTCACATTCCCTGCCGAGGTGCGATCGCAATTAGAAAATTTAACTTAATTTTTTATTTAAATTAATTTTCTACAAGTTTTTGGATGTTACTACGACACCAGGATTTGAACCCGAGCCTTTCGGATGGCAGTACGCAATGCTAACCAGTCGGCTACCGCGGTTGCCATATATACATATATTATAATGCATAAGTCAAGCGGGTGTTACATCATTAGTATTTAAATTATTAACTAAAAATGATATAAATATAATTTTATATGTTATTTGTGTAAGGACAACATTGAAATATTGCAGATAAATTAACATATTTATACTGAAAACTACTAAGTTTAGGTCATACTTCACGCCGCAGATATCGTTTGAGAATTATTTGGAAACTTCTCACTCACTCTGAGTCGGACACACACAATCAAACCCAATGCACCTCTCACCAGAAATCCGAGAACAATAAAAATTAAAAATATTAATTCCAACATTGGACGAACTGGTCATACCCGAACATCAAGTTGGATTTAGAAGAGGCCACGGAACCCCGGAGCAATGTCAATGGGTAATGAATGATATTGTTTTTCTTTCGACAACAAAAAATACTGTACTACATCTTTCTTAAATGCTGAACAGTTATTCGATCGAAGCTGGAATAAAACATACTATTCAAGATAAATAAAATGGCTGCCTGCGCGCTACTATCTGCTGCTCTGGCTTTATATAGTATATGTATGTATTTTAGAAAAGCTTTAATTTGTAACAGAGAAATTACTCTTCAACAATGTTCCCTATAAACGCGCGAGTTCTATAAGGAAACATCTTGGGACCTGTTTTATACACAATACTGGTTTATACGGCAAACATGCCATAGATGATCCAGCCATTTTAGGAACCAATTCATCCAAACAAGAGCTTCACGGCTTCAGAAATCAGCGTTATTAAAGACTGGTTATTTCGCTGGAAAAATAAAATAACGAATTTACTCAAATATCATTCGCAATCGAGAATGCGTGAATGGGTGCTAAGTATCTTGAGTTGTTGTTGCATGGCAGACTAACATGGAAAACCCATATAAGGCGAGAAGCCTTAGGAATCAAAGTTCGTCTTTATAAAGCCTTGCTTAAGCCAGTGTAGACCAAAGCTATTCCGCTTTGGAAAACAACTAGCGATTTAAATTTTAAAATACTTCAGAGGTACCAATCCAAAACGCTAACGCAAATATACCCTGTGAGGCAAAAGTTAGGTGAATTTTGAATTTGAGCTTCGCGCGTTGAATATTTCGTGTTAATTCTTTTTTTAATGTTAGTAGCACTGCTATTGATGACATCTACGCCAAATTTCATGTCAATGCCTTTATTGGTATTTTAGTTGCGCTTGTGTTTACTAAACGAATAAAAGAACCTTCGTGGTCTTCGAATATTGTTCTCCAACCACCGTGTTCGCCGGACTTAGCACCATGTGACTTCTGGCTCTTCCAAAAACTCAAGAGACCACTTCGAAGACACTGTTTTGAGTCGATTGAGGAGATTAAACGTGAATCGGCGCGCTCTCTGAAGACCATACCAGAACGTGACTATTTGACATACTTCGATAATTGGAAAAAGCGTAGGCATAAAGGCATTGCATCGGCAGGGGACTGTTTTGAAAACGGCGAAATCGATGTAGAAGAATAAATAAAGATTTGTAGTTTTACAAACAAATTCACCTTGCTTTTTGCTCACAGAGTTACATACAGATTTTAGAATTTCTTATACAAAATCTGAAATAAATAAGTAATAAAATAAGTAAATAAATTGTACAACAAAGAAATTGGACACTGCTACTTGTATGATTTCTCCAGAAGAATCCAATTCTGCTCTACGACCGATTTTCGAGAAACTATAAAGTTACAGCAAGTGAATTTTCGACCTTTTTGGGCATTTAGATGGGTAAAACTGGAGCAAAATAATAAATCCAAATCTCGGATAGCAATTTCCTCCTACTAAGCTTGCCGATTGCTGTCCGGACTTGCAACAGTAAGCAAGAGATTACTCATATGTCATGGCAATTGTAAAGAATCGGTTTTTGAATTTATTTATTTTTTAATGGAAACCATTTTCATTATTTTTATTTTTAACGAGAAAGAATTGCTGTGAGTCATGCCGAAGTATTTTTGTCCTTCATGAACATATCAAATTTATGGTATTTTATTTAGGGATTAAAAATGAGTTCTCATTTCTGAACAAATCGGTTGTGTGTGGGCCATTGCAATGATTTTCGAAGACAATTTTATTTGTAAATACAAATGTATATTACCAAATTTCACGTTCGTAGATACGCTCATACCTTTCATGAACTTCTCTTCTCAAAACTGAAAAATCGGTTTATATACTATAGTGGTCCGATTTGGCCGATTGCGAAAAATACATCGTTTACGTGTACCATTCCATCTGTGTACTAAGTTAAAAACATCTCAAAAGCCGAGTTTTCGTACAAGCAGACGGGCGTATTCAAATCAACTTATTCTATCTTTTCCCGCTCTGGTACCATTTCGGAAAAAAGTTAATTTGTTAAAATTTTTTGTGTAAGATAAGTACCTAAATAGACTTTCACCGAGCTGGTAATAGAATGAAATATATTTCAGGAAATTTTTTTTAAATGTTTTTTCTTGGATTTTGCAAGTTTTTACACTAACTTTAGGCATTAAACCTATAGAATGTGCGGTATTGGGCTACCTAATATTTACCTGACGCAACTACGCATAATCACGTGTAACCAGGTGTGTTATAAACTTGGGGACATGGAAAATTCTAATAAAATTAAATTTGTCTTACAATAAAGACTAAACATTACGCTAAGTAACAAGTCATCCATTATTTTTGTAATACAATAGAAATAGTAGTATTTATACTACGTTAGGGTTGTTTAAATGATTTGTTTGCTAAAATTGCGGAAAAAAATCTCTTTTATTTCTCAAATACTTTTTGATATTAACCCAACTAGTCTAAGATGTACTCTCTTCACCCTGTATCCACGCAGCTCTCAAAAAAAATTATATATATGTACATACATATGTACTTCTACATGTCGATAAATAGGTAACGTGTAAAATTCGAGCGACAAATCTGTTGGAAGTCAACAGTAGTGAGTGATATAAGATGGCAGGCGCTGACAAGTCCCATTGGCCCGAAGGAGAGCAAGCTTAATCGAATTTAAATTGTGAAAACAACCCAAAATGGTTAAATAGGCCACTCAAAAAAAAAAAATTAATAAAATAAAATAAAACAAATATGAGAGTAATTGTAAAAAAAAAATTAAATAAACAAAATCACGCACATATTGCGACCAGCTGCGTAAAAACCGATTTCGGCGGTAAAGAGTAAATGTTGCTTGCATTCAGCTACTCGCCTAACTTTGATTGGAGCGCGAAAATGCTCAGGGTGGCAATATATGTACACACATACATATGTCTGTTTATCTGTATGCATGCAACTTTAAATCGTGCAACAAATTTACGCTGCCAGCAACAATGCATACACATATGTACATATATGTACATATATTGTACTATTGGGTTGCCCAAAAAGTAAATGCGGATTTTTCATATAGTCGGCGTTGACAAATTTTTTCAACGGCTTGTGACTCTGTAATTGCATTCTTTCTTCTGTCAGCTATCAGCTGTTACTTTTAGCTTGCTTTAGAAAAAAAGTGCGCGAAATTTTGCTTACATTTGTTTGTTTGGCGTCAATTTTAATATGGAGCCCACAAAGGAGCATTTTCGTCATATTTTACTTTATTATTTCCGTAAAGGAAAAAACGCGGAGCAGGTTGCTAAAAAGTTACGAGATGTGTATGGTGATGAAGCCTTAAAAGGAAGACAGTGTCAAAATTGGTTTCGCAAATTCCGTTCTGGAGATTTTTCACTTAAAGATGAGCCATGTTCAGGTCGGCCAAATGAAGTTGATGATGAACTGAGCGTGAGATAGGAGAGAAGTTAAGTATAAAAAAAAATATCGTATATTTTGAGCTGCTTCCAAGGAACCAAACGATTAATTTGGATGTTTACTATCAACAATCGGACAAATTGAATACAGCCATCAAGGAGAAGCGACCAGAATTGGTCAATCGTAAAGGTATCATATTCCACCAGGACAACGCTAGACCGCACATATTTTTGTTCACTCGCCAAAAACTGAGTGAGCTTGGCTGGGAACTTTTGATGCATCCACCATATAGCCCTGACCTTGCACCATCAGACTACCATTTATTTCGATCTTTGCAGAACTCCTTAAATGGTAGAACTTTCGGCAATGATGAGGCTATAAAAACGCACTTGGTTCAGTTTTTTGCAGATAAAGGCCAGAAGTTCTATGAGCGTGGAATACTAAATTTGCCGGAAGATGGCGAAAGGTTATCGAGCAAAATGGCAATTATATATTTGATTAAAGTTCATTCTAAGTTTTATTAAAAATGCATTTACTTTCTTTTAAAAAATCCGCAATTACTTTTTGGGCAACCCAATACATAAAAAAGCACTCAAAAGTATTCCTTTCATAAACTCTTTCCAGAATTAATTTAATGTCAAAGTTTATTGGTTATCCAAAATGCATGCGGGCTCTTATATGGATATATATACATATGTATGTATATAGGCATATGCTTGTATACTCATAACATATTTGCACCCTTCACTTAAAAATTTTACTTGTTAACTGGAATCCAACTATTTTGCATTTTAACGCTAACTAATTCATCTTACCAACTCCACCTGATCTTTCCAACAGAGTAGAGGTCTTACTCTTCCTCTACTTCCACCGTCGGTTAGTGCACCGAAAACTTTGTTGGTTGGAGTATTCTTATCCATCTGGACCACATGTCTAAGCCAACATGCCTTCTGTCTCTTGATTTGCTGTTTCATGCAGCTCATCGTTTCATCGGCTGCGGTATTCGTCGATAAAAGTGCTCAGAGGGCCATAAATCTTACGCAAAAGCTTTTTTATCGAAAACTCAATGGAACATCTGTTCCAACAATATCGATTTGAGAATTACGTTCACCCTCTGCTGTTGTTCTATTTCCACTGCCATAGTTTCAGTATACTCTGTGCTTCACACGATAGATCACCTCTCTGGCTCCTACAAAAACTTGATGCGGTCTTGAGAAATTATGTGAATTGTCGCATCTTTTCTTAGAATCCTTTAGCATTACCCCTGACGAGTAGGTTCTCAGTTTTTGCATGTCGCTTGCCTGTTTTTGCAACTTTTACGAATTAGATTAGTTTGAAGCTGTTAATAGGGAGCTTGAAATGTCGTCCTGCAGTTCCCTTATATCGAGTTGCTAATGAGTGCTTTGAGAGATCAGAAGTATAAGTCGAGTAGTTGATGAACTCTCTACATATACATATTTTATTAAACCATTTCCTGGTACGACCAACATCCATAAGTGAAATTAATTTAAATAAAAAATTAAGCAAAATTTTCTAATTGCGATGGTTTTCTGACACGAACTAAAAGGCTCTTCATAAAAACCATCAGCCGTTCTGAGGTGGCTTAGTATAAGTTCCTCCATCGTTGGAAAAATATCAAGACGCATGCGGCAGGAGCTCGGCCGAAAATCGCTTCAGCGGTTATAAAGCGCCAATTATATATATATTTCGCACGGGACATCCATGTAAACTTCGTTTCGGTTACGTTGTTTACGTATTTGCCTTAATTTTTATGAATTTCTTTCTAAAAATTTGATATAGATTTGGTTGGTGACTCACCTTCGATTTGCTCCTCTGAATCCAAACACGATCAGCTGATGAATGCGGTGACTTCACGAAAATCCAATTGACCGAGATCTTAACGTGGAGCAAAAAGTCAAAAAGTCGGGAATTAGAAATAAAAACACAAACCCTTGCCTTCAACCACAATCACGAATATACATATGTATGTATGTAGTTGGAATAAAACATCACAAAGCAAACCAACATATATATGTACATATGTACATGGAAATACGAATGTAAATGAAAGAAAAATAGAAAAGATTTAATAAATAATTGAATAATGTGAACAAAGCGCGCTTTTAGCACAATTTACGGTAATATAAAATTACACACAAATGAAATATGGTTTGTTTGGACGCGACAGCAATAGCGCCAACCATAACAACAACAACAACAAAAAGAAGTACAACACAAATAGTTGTGGTAAAAAAAGAAGGATATGTAAAGGGTGTTTTTATATGCGTGTGAATTTCAATGGGGCAGTAGTTTTTCCGAAGTTGGTCATTTTGATAGCTC